CGTCCCCCCTCAGATGGGTCGGTCCTCTCACCTTTCAATCCCCCCACAGTTGGGTCAATCCGGTCCCAGGTCTCATCCCCCCTCCCCCCGCGTTTTGGGTTGGCCCAAGGGCGTTATTTTATGCCATTGCCCGGGCTAATTTGCATAGAGGCGGTACTGAGCCATCACACACATGGACTCCATCTCCCCATGTAAACAGTCTCACGCCCCTTGTCAGACTGTCTGCACTGGGCTCCCTTGGTTACGTCACTTGGCCTCTCGCGGGGGGTAGGACAAGTCCCCCCCTTCCATGCGCTGTGGCTGGAGCCCCCCCCCCCCCGGATGGGCCAGTCCAGGCATCCCATGAAGTGGGCTGTAGCCAGTCACTGTCCGTCTCTGAGGTGCCCCCGGACGCCTCGTTCCTTCCCCTTAGAGCTGGGAACTGGGGCGTTAAAAGCCCCATCGGGCCATGTGCCCCCGGGGCAGGTGCTGAGACCGGCAAACTCAGCCCGGGCCCCGCCCCCCTGCAGCCACACTGGGGGGGCTTGATGCACCCTGAACTCGGCCCCTTGGGCGCCGCCTGACCCCCTCGGCCCCCCAAACCAACCCGACCCGCCACGCCCCGCAGCACGTGGCAAACCCACACCCGGAGCTGTAACCCGGAGTGCGCCCGCCCCGCACTGCTGGGGGGAGCCCAGGGCTGGGGGCTGTGGGTCGGGAGTGAGGGGCGCCGGCACAGCGGGGGGCTGCGGGTCGGGAGTGAGGGGCACCGGCACAGCGGGGGGCTGCGGGTCGGGAGTGAGGGGCACCGGCACAGCGGGGGGCTGCGGGTCGGGAGTGAGGGGCACCGGCTAACAAAGCATCTGGTATCGCTGGTAAAAGTCTCCGGTCGGTTTTATTCCCTCGGCCTCGCTCGGATTCTCCCGTTTTGGTTCTATAGAAATTTCTCCAAAAAGAACAAAAAGACGGAAACAAAAGGAAAAGAAACGGAGCCGGGGGGCCCAGACCCCCCCTCGCAGCCGTCCCGCTTGGTGCTCCGGCCGGGCTGTGGGCGGCTCCCCCCACGCGGGTCCAGGGGCCGGTTCCCCTCGGCTCGGCGGCTGGGACACCCTGAGTTCCTGCCCCCCCCGGGATCCCGCAGCCCTGGCTCTGGCCCCCTCTTTCGTGGGAGGGGTCTGTCCTGGTCCGTCGCTGGCACGTTTCCGAAAGCACCTGACCCCAGCCCCGGCGCCTCCCCGGTTCCGGGCAGGTGGGGGCGCGGGGGGCTGCACGGTTGTAGGGGCTGGAGGCACAAGGGGGGGGTCAATCTCAGCTGGCCCTGAGAGCTCTGCTCCCCGCCCCCGGGTGCTGCCGCCGGTGGGGACGATGCCCCAGGGTCCCGGCCCCGGAGTCCTGGCATACGCACAGCGTACATGTCTAAGGGGCGAAGGCCGCGGGGGGGGTCATTCCTGCTCAGTCAGGTCCCGGGGCCCCCCCGGCCGTGGGGTGCCCTCCTCAGGGGCGGGGCCGGCGGGCGGTGGGGGCCCCCCCCCGCAGAGTCTGGATGCGCCGGCACTCGTGACAGATGCGGATGTGGGTGCAGGGCCGGGCGGGCTCCTCCAGGAGGCGCTGGGGGGCGGGTTCGGCCGCCAGGGGCGCCGTGTACAACTTCCCGTTGCTGAACCGCATCTCGCGCACGGCGCGCAGGGCCAGGCCCGCCCGGGCTGGGGGCCGCCGGCGCCGCCGAGACCGCGTGGGCTTCCGGCACGACACGGCCTGGCGCAGCTCCCGCAGCATCTCCTGGCACACCGAGAGCTGGGGGGGAGAGCAGGGGTCAGGGTCCCAGACGCCTGGGTTCCTTCCTCGCCACCCCTCCCGGTGCCGGACGCCTGGGTTCCTTCCTCGCCACCCCTCCCGGTGCCGGACGCCTGGGTTCCTTCCTTGCCACCCCCTGGTGCCGGACGCCTGGGTTCCCTCCTTCCCACCCCTCCCCACCCCTCCCCGCGCCTGGCGTTCCTTCTTCGTCACCCCTCCTGGTGCCGGACGCCTGGGTTCCTTCCTCGCCACCCCCTGGTGCCGGACGCCTGGGTTCCTTCCTTGCCACCCCCTGGTGCCGGACGCCTGGGTTCCCTCCTTGCCACCCCTCCCCGCGCCTGGGGTTCCTTCTTCGTCACCCCTCCTGGTGCTGGACGCCTGGGTTCCCTCCTTGCCACCCCTCCCCGCGCCGGACGCCTGGGTTCCTTCCTCACCACCCCTCCCAGCGCCGGACACCTGGGTTCTTTAGTCCCCCCCCCATTCCAGCACCAGACGTCTGGGTTCCCCCCCCGTCCCGGAGCCCCAGCGCTCCCCACCTCCTCGGTCTCCGCCGAGCGGCGCGTGGCCCAGACGAATTCCATGACGGCCACAAAGACGGCAACGACGAGTCCGCAGATGAGAACCACAAAAATGCCGCCGATGTTCTCCATGCCCAGGCCTGGGGGGAGAGACGGGGTCAGGGGGGCCGGCCGCACCCCCCCCACTGCCAGCTCCGCCCAACTGGGC